GGATCCTGGTACTTGCAAGGCCCGGATTTATCCTCTCGACTATCACGCCAGACCCAATGCCTTTCTTCTAATGAGGTTCTCTGTGAGCTCTGTTGAACTGCATTTCATCTGTATTAAATATTGTATGTTTGCTTTCATTTATCTGTCTCACAGTGTTTTCTAATTTTCTTGATATTTTTCTAATTTTATTCCACTGTGATCAGATAACATACTTTTCATGGCTTTAATCTTTTATAGTGTATTGTTGCTTGCTTTGTGGCCTCATAGTTCTCTGCTTTGGGGAAGGCACCATGTTTTGTTTTTGGATACAATGTGTTAAGCCTGATTTGTTTATAATACTGTTCCTGACACCTGATTTCTTTTTCGTTTTTCTGCTTATTTATTCTGTCTCCAACTACTGTTGAATTCTCTTTATCCATCCAGTTTTGTCACTTCTTGATCTTAATTGGTGTATTTTGGAATATTGTATTTGCACATATTTGTGTTTTTTGTCTTGCTAATATTTTGGCCCATTTTGGTTACAAGGCATCCTTTCCTAGTAACATGTTTGCTACAAAATCTAATTTGTCTGATATTAATTCAGTACTCTATTGTTAATATCTTTTGTAATACAGATTTATACATTTACATTCAGTTTTGTCTTTTTGAGCCTGAAATGTGTCTATAAGAAAGCATATAATTAGAGCAGATCATTTAAGAAATCATTCTGCTACTTTCAGTCTTTTTTTTTTCCAAGTTTTTTGTTTGTTTGTTTTTAATTTGAAAGGCAAGAGTTACTCAGACCTCTTGCATCTGTTGGTTCACTCCCCAAATAGCCACAAGGGCCGGGGTTTGTTCGGGCCAGCCCTGGAAGCTTGGAACTCCGTCTGTGTGCTGTGTGACTAACTGGGGCCCAGGTATTCAGGGTATTATCTCCTGCTTTCCCAGGCACTAGCAAGGAGCTGGTTTGTGAGTGAAACAGCCACAGGTGGAACTGGGGCTCACAAGTGATGTGCTGGAAAGGCAAGGTAGCTGAAGGTGCTGTGCCATAACAATCCCCTTCAGTCCCTGCGTTTTGATTTTGGGTGTCTTGTTTATTTAATGTTTTATTAATTGGTTTCTACATATTTTGTCTCTTCTCTATTTTTGTTTGTTTTTGTTTTTATGCAGCTGTTTTTTACTGTCTCATTTTAATTCTCTTTACTACATATTGTTTGAGTTCATTTCTTGGTGACTATTGGAGAAGGACATTGCTTATAAGCATATAGCTAGTGATAATTGCTACTTTATATTGATAGAATACAGAGATTTTGCTGTATATAAATTACCTTCTTTTGTACTGTTGTCATACCATCATTGTAAGCCTGTCAGTTGTACAGTTTTATAAGTATAGCTTTATGCAATTGTGTGTTAAACCAAATGGGAAAAAGGTCGCAAGCACTAAGTATATTTAATTTGTTTATATGGTAGCTGTCTAATAATCACTTTTACAAGTGCTCTGTATTCTTTTGGATTTGAGTTGCTGTCTAGTGTCCTTTGATTTTAGCTTTTGATACTTGGTTTCTAGGGCAGATCTGCTGTGTGTTGAACTCTAGTTTTTGTTTGTATGTGAAATTTTTATAATTATTATTATTTTTAAAAGTTCATACATTTTGAAAGAGTTACAGAGAAAGAGAGATCCTACATCCCCTGGCTCACTCTTCAGATGCCTGCAACAGCCAGCCCTTGGTCAGGTTGTAGCCAGGAGCCAACAGCTGCATCCCAGCCTCCCATCTGGGCCACCTTTCACTGCTTTTCATAGGCCTTTAACGGGGAGCTGGCTTAAAAGTGGAACAGAAAAGCACAGACTGATGGCATTGTTGGAATGCCCACCAGGCTGCAGTACTGGCCCCTGAGTTCAAGTTTTAGAATACTTAACAGGGCTTTTTAAATGATCGATTTTATATTGATTAAATTCTGATAGGTTTTGCCTTTTGTAGGATTGTTTCATTTAATTTGGCAAATTTGATGTTTGCAAGGTCTGAGTGGTATCATCTATTCATTCCTTACAGTAATAATTTGCATTTTCTTTGAAAGTCTTGCTAGAGATTTATCATATTTATTAATCATTTTGTTCATTCCCCACTTTTTCTGTTTTTTTTTTTTTTTCTCATTTTCATTGATTTCTGTCTATCATTTCCTTCCTTTTTGTGTTGTATGTTTATCTGGCTCTTTTCTATCTAAGTTATTTAGGAGAGAAATTATATTGATTTGTTTGAGACATTTCCTATTTTCCATCACATGCATATAGTGGTGTAAATGTCCCTATCCTCACTGCTTTAGCTGTGCCCCATCAATTCTGATATATTGTATTTTCATCTTAATTTAATCCAGTTGTATCTTTTTATTTCCCTTGAGCTTTTCCTTCCTGCTGTGGATTATTTAGAAGCCAGGTGTCTAGTTTCCATGTGTTTGAGGGCTTCATGGTATCTTTCTGTTCTTAGAGAATACACTTTGTGTAATTTGAATTCTTTAAATGTGTTTAGATTTGATTTTTAATTCTAGAGTATGGACCTCCTTGGCAAATATTTGGTCGGAATTTGAAAATAATATGCATTCTGTTATCAGTACAATGTTTTCCTAATATTAATTAGATCTTATTGACTAATGTTATAATTTAATTCCATAGTCACACTATATTATTTTTCAAATTAATTAATGAGAAATGTACTGTTTCATGACTATGGGTTTGTCTTTTAATTTCCTCTTTGCAGTTTTGCTCTCACATCATTTACATCCGTGTTGGCACATTCACATTTAGGATCGCTGTGTATATCCTTGATGGATTGGCTCTTGTATCATTATGTGGTATCTCTCCCCTGTTCCTGCTAATTTTCTTTGCTCTGAAGCCTGCTTAATCTGATCTTACTGTAATCACTCCTCTATCTGTTGAATGTTGTTTCCATGGTAAATATTTTGCATCACTATTTTTTAGCTGTCTATATTGTTATATGAGTATACTTTAAAAAGTTCATTGAAACTGAAAGATAAGATTACTTTGGTGCAAATTTCTTTGAAATTCATGTATAATTTTTCTGTAATATCTTCCATAAACATTATGAAGAGCTTTTGTATGAATTGAAAAAGTAGTTTTGCACCCAAGTAAATATATGTATGTGTGTATGCTAAGCTACATGTAGATATGCAAATATATTTTTTTAAAGATTTATTTTTTATTTTTATTACAAAGTCAGATATACTGAGAGGAGGAGAGATAGAGAGGAAGATCTTCTGTCCAATGATTCACTCTCTAAGAGAGTGCAACGGCCGGTGCTGTGCCAATCCAAAGCCAGCATCCAGGATCCAGGAACTTCTTCCTCCAGGTCTCCCACACGGGTGTAGGGTCCCAAGGCTTTGGGCCTCCCTTGACTGCTTTCCCAGGCCACAAGCAGGGAGTTAGATAGGAAGTGGAGCTGCCGGGATTAGAACCGGCGCGCATATGGGATCCTGGCACGTTCAAGGCAAGGACTTTAGCCACTAGGCCACGGCGCCTGGCCCTAGATATGCAAATATATGTGTAAATGCGTAAATATATATCCTGTTTTTTTGTGTGTGTTTATTTGAAGGGCAGAGAGAAAGAAACTAAGAAAGAGAGCTCTGGTCATTGCCTTCTTGCTCAGATCGGGCCACGCTGATTCCAGGATCCCAAAACTTAATCCATGTCTCCCACATAGGTTACAGGGACCCATGTGCTTAAGCCATCATCTGCTGTGGCACCAGTAGGAAGTTGGATCAGAAATAGAGCTGGGACTCAAAAGCAGGCTCTCTAATATGGGGCATCGATATCCCAGGTTCTATTGCCTTACCCTCTGCATCAGATACTTGCCTTTAAACTTTTTGTTCTAGTTTTACATGAAATTATTGAAGCACCTCATGTTTTAGGAGACTGTAAATTATTTTCCTACTCTGCCAGTTACTGTCTTTTATTTAAATTGTTTATCTTACTTGGCTAGCCCCCTCCTTATAAAAAACTGTTTTAATATTTCTATAACATTGACTTTTACTTTCAGCTTGGAGTCTGTTGAAATGAGAGCAGCTTCAGACCTTGACCATCACTGGTTGACATGCTGTTTCTTGTAGTCTTTATTACTGTTTCACTTACGTTTGGCAATCTTCAATAATTGTGACTGTTTCTATTTGAGTTTGTTTCTTTTATCAAGTTGTCCATAAAATACAAGCTTGTGGGAGTTAAACTTTGAATTCTTTGATTCTGATAGCTGCTTTGAATTCTTAAGTTCTAATAGCTTCCGGTTTTGTTTCTTAATTTTTTTTCTGCCATCTGAGTGTTGATTTTCTGTATATATAACTGTTTCACTTTTTATCTACAGCTTTAAAGCTACAACTTCATTGTCACTTAATATCTGATATTGATAGTGGTGCCATATTCTTTCTTCAGTAGGCAGTCTATTTTTTAATTTCTTAGGTTAAAAATTCAGAAGCAAAGATTGGTTAGTTACAGGTTTTATTTTCTTAAGAATAAGAATACAATTTGGAGTTTGAAGGTAATTTATGTATTAAAAACAAAAAGAATCCTGTATTTCTTGAAACACTTAAGTTACAAAAAAAAAATGAGTAGGGCCCACCAAAGTTAAACTTTTAATATGGTTTGTTATTCCATGATGATTTACAGTACTTTTATCAATGGGTAGTATCCCACTTCCGTAGACAGCACCCTTCTGTCTCCTTTTTGGCTGCTTTTCAATTTGTATTTTTTTGAATTGGAGCTTGAATTCCTAAAAAACCAGTGTGTTAATTCTTCTCAGTAGAACAGCTCGAACTATCGCTCTTCTTCAAAATAGTTTGTAATTTTCGCTTCAATGGCTGTCATATCTGCCACATACTTATGATTTTTACCCTGATGTTTTGAAATTTATAACTATTTTCTACCAGTTTTAATTTAAAAATATGTAAATAACTTTGTCTTTTACATTATGTCGTATCCTACACTGCCCTTTAGTTAGCAGCTTTTTCTTCTAACTTAGATCTAGTGTGGACAGTAATGACCTCACGTTTCCGGTTGCCTGCTGGCAGAACCTACAATGTACGAGCATCGGAGTTGGCCCGAGACAGACAGCACACGGAGGTGGTTTGCAACGTCCTTCTGCTGGATAACACTGTACAAGCTTTCAAAGTTAATGTAAGTATTTCTTGCCTTTAGAAAAAGATGATCTGTCTTCTAAATTTAAGACAAAGAGGTATACATTTATATGAGTCTAGATAGAATTTGAGCACTAGGACTTTAAGTTATATTACAGTTTGAACAGTCCTCTTTAGTTAAGAGAACCTTTGATGTGGGTTTGCTTTTTAGGTGCCTGTCCTCCTTCACTCTGAATCTTTTTCAAGAGTTGCACATTTGATAGCAATGGCAAACACGAGCGGTGCACTGTGATTAGTAAGGCAGATCGACAGTGTGTGGGTGGTTTTTATAAATATTCTGGAAGGCGTTTAAAAAGAATGCATTAAATAATTTATGCATTTTCATTATAGTCTTGCTTGTGCTGTCTGTGGATAAGACTTTTGTCAAACAAAGGTAGATGACAGCCCCGATCTTTTCTGAGTAATATATCAAGTGTGTATTCAATAAATATTTGTTCATCCTGTTTGTGACACTAGCTTCCAAAGAAGTTGGCAGCATCCTAAGAATTGCCTGAATTATCATAGTGCCATTATGATACCCCATAAATTTAGCATCATGAAAATAATAGTATCTAATAAGTAGAGCCTGTTTGAGCTGAAATTCCACATTCCTTATTTCCAAATCTCTGTGTTGGTATCTCTCCGCTGTTGTATTAATTATATTTTGAAATCTTTAGATAATGCATTCTGTTTATACCAGCTTCTTAAGCTTAAAATTTTTCTGTATATTGTATAGTAGGATTACTGATTTATCTTTTTTATGGCAGAATTCATGGCATTATATGTTGGAGAAAGGGACTTCAGAGTTTTGAAAGTTGCATCAAAGAAAGTATCTTTGAGTTTATCTAACTTTCCCACAAGTTCATTGTCAAACTTAATTTCTTTCATATCTTAGAGTTGGAGTATGCATTGCCAAGGCAAAATAGCATGAAATGAAGAGAAATGTGCTTCATAAAAATTTCTGTTTAAAATGCACTCTCATGTATTAAACATTGACATAAGAAAATACTCTTTTTCTGTTGCTGACACATTAGAATCTGGGGATAGTCATGGGTAAACTTAATAATTCTCAGCTTAATTAATATTAATATTTGCTATTTGTTTAAACTTAGAATTCTGCACATGTTTTAAAATATTACAAATGAATTTTCTGTGGTTCCTATCCAGCATAATTTGTTAGGCATCTGAGTTGATAATAATGATTTGTATTTTTCAATTTAGTAATCTACTATTAATTGCTTTTTGAACAGATGTGAACATATAATATTTTTGCATGTTCATGTTTTTAGCGAATTTAAGGGAACTTAAAACATCATGAAAAGTGGGATTTTCCCAGAGGCTTTTTGAAGTACCCTTATATATTTACCTGCCAGTTTCAATAAACCCAGGTATAATTGTAATATGATAAGTATTCTGGTACTGGAAAAATTCTTTGCCATTATCTCAAGTAATCCAAAAACTTACTTTGGAATAATAGTTTATGAGAATGATTCCTCTAAGTATTTGGACCCAAGTTGTTCAAACTATGTTTTTCTGCAGATTGTGTGTATTTAATTTGTCTGATTGGCTGCTCATTAACACATTTTATAAGCTATATGGCATGTATTAGCAACCAGTAACCTAGTTCCATATTTATAAGCTCTGATAATTGTTTTTTGGTGTCTATTAAGTCTCAGAAATCTTGGTGTGCACAGCTGCTAGGTTCATCAGCATGTTTGTTTTCACTGGAAAGGAAGGAAGAACCATTCATTCTTCATTGAAGATTACCTAGAGAGATTTGCCAGTTATCTTAGAGTCTTAGCTTTTCCTGACCTTAAAGATTTTTTGCATCATAGGTGAAATATTCGTTGTTGGCAAAGATTGCTTTCTTCCATGTGGAAGTCATCCTGTCAGAGCCATATCTGAATCTCTTCCTGAGGGAAATGGATAAAATAATGAAGTTCAGACATAATGTAATCTAATTATACTTGCTTTTTCTCTGCCGTGTGCATAGAAATGAGATAAATGTTTTAGTGTTAATCTAGTTTAAGTCTTGTTTTTTGGTTTGGGTTTTTTTTTTTTTTTAAGACATTTTTTATTTGAAAGATTTACAGAGATAAAGATCTTCCATTATCTGGTTTACTCCCTAAATGGCCACAGCGGCAAGAGCTGAGCTGATCTGGAGCCAGGAGCCAGGAACTTCTTCCAGGTTTCCCACACAGGTGCAAGGTCCTAAGGCTATGGGCCATCCTCTATTGCTTTCTCAGCCCAAAAGCAGGAGCTGGATGAAAAGTGGAGCAGCTGAACCAGTGCCCACTTGCATGTGGAGGATTAGCCAGTTGAGTCATTGCACCAGCCCCTCAAGTCCTATTTTCACTGTGGCTTTGACACAATAATTTGTTTACTATAGCCAGTCTGTGGAATGTGTTATCCTCTTTCCCTAAATTCATTGTCAATTCACTGAAGCATGTTTCCATTAAACGCTTAAAAATGCATGCTCTCTGTTTTATTTGGATTGATTTCTATAACTAGTGAAGGTTTTTTTCCTCCTTAGTTTTTGGTCTCAACGTTGATTTTGGAACACTCATTTTCAGAAATTTTGGGGGGGAAGTATTATTTAGGTAGCATTTATTAAATATTATTTCTAACCCAACTTAGGTTTAATTGGTTAACTCCTTTTCAAGTATTATTTATACTTACCACTCAGATTTTATCTAACTTTTTGTTAACGTTTGGTGGTTTGTTTGTACTTGCTATTTAAAAAGGTAAATAATTCTGCAAGTCATATAACAACTAGCAGGTCCTTACCTGCTACTCCTTAGAAATAATCATGTATTATTTGTTATTATATGTTACCGTAGTTCTGAGAAATAGTCCACGTGTTGTTTTTGGTTCTGTCTTTGTTTGGTGGTTACGCATATTACGTATTGACTTTGGAGGATGAGAATTTAAGTCTCTGGTAACTCACTTCTCCATATACAAATGCTTCCTCTTGTCATCTTCCTCGTAAACGTAGAAGCTGTCTGATAATATTTGGTTAGTTCAGGGTTTGTTTTCCCAAGAGAAGATTCCTGCCGTCATCTGTGCTGCTGATGTAGCGTGTCCCTGCTGCTGCTGTTAGAGCTGATGGAGAAGAACCGACTACAGAGCTCTCTCCTTGGCAGTGTGTAGACTTTCTGCTGGCTGCAGGCTCTGCCTGTCTTCTGCACTGTACAGATGAGTCATTGTACCTGGTGGCCCTGAGGCCAGAGTCCTTCTGGTTCATTTTCTTCAGAGAGTAAGTTTACTTCTGGAGTCCCAGGAGGGAGGGGAAAGGGAGAATGTTCATGTAGGAAGGTGTTCCTTCAGTAGACTCGACACAGCCTTTTTTACACTCCCATTCAGGTTTGGTTTTTCAAAGTTCTTTTATACCTCAATTTTCTGGACCTTGTGGGGTTCCAGAACTTGCTCCTGGGTCTTTCTCACAGAAACTGTTTAAAATTTTCATCATTATTATTTTTTAGCTTTCTTCTGGCTGTTAGTTGGTGACTGTTTAAGTTGCTTTTCCTAGAAGTTTGTTAGTGTAACTCTTTTATTTCTTCTTTCACTGTTGGTTTCTGTGTGCCTTAAGCAAACATTGTGTTCCGTCATGTTTAACCTTGAAAACTCTAATTGATTTTTGAAAGTGACACATGCACATTATACATGCAGGATCAATATAGACAGATAGATGTTCTACCCACTGGTGTACTCATACCTTTCCACCTTTTCTGTGTTTTAGTTTAATTTGTTAAGGTAATAATACCTACCTTTCTTGGTATGTTTAGCATTAAATTAGATTATTGGGAATATCTGGCTCATATTTATGCAGTTAAAAAGGCTGACTTTCTAGAGTGTTATGACAGAATGCTGTGCTCTCATCCCACACTGGAGCCCCAGTTTTTCATTGCTTTGTCTCAGGCTTCCTGCCGATGTACATGAGGGGCAGTAGATTTTAGTCCAGGAACTTGGATTCTTCCCATCCCTGTGGGAATCCTGGCTTTGGCCTGGTCTGACCATAGCTATTGTGGGCATTTGGGGAGTGGACCAGCAGATGGACAATTTCTGTCTGTCTCTCTCCCCCACCCAATCTCTGTCCCTCAGCCTTTCAAATAGATAAAAAATATTTAAAAAAAAAAAAAAAAGAAACTTACCTGTATATACCTACTGTGCTTGTGATGCTAGTACTAACTTTTTGGTTTTAGGCATCATTATTAATTTCCAATTAACACAGATGAGATTTAGTTGTCTCTTATTTCTGACCCCTACTCCTCATCCAAGCACCATTATTGATTTATGGAATGTGTTTAATGAGTATTCTGTGTACATTATTATATCTTTGTTAATCTTAATCATGGTTGAGATGCATTGCCCAACTGTGATTTTTTTCTTTTGTGTAAAACTTTACTTTTCATAGAAGTGGCAATTTTCTTTCCTTTCTCTTTTTACATAGTATTTTTTAACACCCGTATATAATTGCTCCCCAAATTCTTTAATAATGGTTTAAATCGCCTCTTGGTATAATCTTATCATCAAATAGTCTATCAAATTCTTCTTGAAGAGATCTCTCAGGTATCTTCTGCAGCACTCCTTTTTTTGCTGTGTACATTTGATGCACAACTAGACTAACTCATTGCTATCATTTTGACCATTCCTTTCTCTCAGGCATTAATGTGTTCTGTTTCCCATCTTTGTCAGACAGTTTCTGCTGCTATGACAAAATACCTTAGACTGAGTGATTTGTAAATGGCATAGGTTTATTGTTCACAGGGCTGGGAAGTCCTCAGTCGAGATCCTGGTGAGGACCAATCCTTGCTTCCTGGATGTCACGCTTTGTCCTCATGTAGCAGAAGAGAGGGAAGTATTAGTTCCCTTTTGCACTTTTAGCTTGCATTTTGTCTTAAGATTTTTTGTTTATGTGCTTTCATGTACTTGAAAGGCTGTGCGACAGTTCTGCTGGGACTATTTGGTAGCTTTTCCTTGAGGGTTGTTATAAAAGCCTGA